CCTCCGGGCCCCTCGCACACCCTTACCTGAACTCCTCTGCAAGCCGGGGAGGGGGGAGAAAACGCCAGGAACGATCAGAATAATGCAAACACAGCAATGGAAATGAAAATAAAAACCCACAAAAAGCTTGATGGGGTGATTTCCAGCACGCTGGAAAGTATTGGGTTCTGGGTACCCCCCCAGTGTTATTACAGTCATTGCTATTTTTTTTATATAAATACATATATATTCGGGTTTTTATATATATATACACACACTGTAGTTATGCAATGTTCAGCATGGATCAGGATCCGTGTTTAACTCCTGCAGAGGTGAAGCCCAGCTGAGGAAGCATGCAGGGGTGCCAGCTGCAGCAGCAGTGAGTTTTTCTGCTCGGTCAGTGGTTTTTCAAATTCAGTTTTTCATTTTTCAGATCCTTGGGAAGGTGCAGTCCGAGATACCAGAATGCAGTCTTGTGACAACAGGTCTGTGCACCCTTTTTAAGGGCTACATGGCACAGAGCACCATACTGACTCTCCCACCGAGGGGCTGCGGGCCTCAGGGCTGCAAATTGCTGTCCTGCAGGAAAAATTAAGTATTATTTGTATCCCCTCATTTGACGATTTTATGAGGGGAAACTGAGGCACAGAGGATCAAACCAAATGTCTGTGGCAGAACCAAGCCGCAGTTTCTTCTCTTTTCAACTCCAGCCCAGGGCCTTAAACTGGCAAAAATATCCTCTGCCTGCATTGCTTCAGAATTGCCAGAAACACATCTCACAGTTTGGCAAACATAAACTGGCCTCTTCCCAAGAGGACGTTCAGCCTCAACAAGTCACGGCAGACACAGCCCAGCAGCAGCACAGAGGTGACCCCACAGGTGCTGCCTCACCCCAGTGGGTATCGCCAAAGGGCCCGGGGGTGCTCAGGGCTCTGCTCTCATGCACAGACCTCACTCTTCCTCTCCATGTTATCTCCATCAATAATGCATAAATACACACTCATCAAATTCCTAGAGACTATATTTGTACAAAAACATCAGGGCCAAATTCTGCATTAGTGTAACTTCACTGATGTAAAAAGCATTACATCAGTAAAAACACTGGCCTTAAATATTTTTACCCAAAATAGATTTTTGGCAAACCTCGCTTTACTGTCTTCTCTCAAGTAAAAACCCTGTTCCCTGAGTAGGTGAAGCTTAGCTTGATGCAATGCAAAGGGCATGAGATTCAGATACAGCTAAAATCCCAAGCCCTCAAGGCTGGGCTTAAATGGAATTTGAATTGCTGGCTGTACAGAGATGAAATTCCCTTATGATTTTTATTACCATGAAAACAACTAGAAGTTACAGTCTTAATTTTATCATTATTATGACCTACATATGCATTGGGACACATTAGAAGTTTCTCTAAATTTTGTTTTTCCACATGCAAAAGACGATTTCTTTATATTTTAGTTACAGTAGTTCCTGACTTTCTCTAAATTGCTGGAGAGGCAGTGAAATCCCATATTTACCTTACAGGGAAATAAAATGGTGTGTGTCCCAGTTCTGCTTCTCAAGTTTCATCCATTTTACCAGGCCCGCAACCTTTTCGCTCCCCTAAAAGTACCGCTCAAGGCTGGGTGCATTGCCCACTACACAGCTGCAGGACCGCGCTGTTAGCTGTTGCTGAAGCTAGCGATACGAAGATGTGATGTTTTCGGTGTGCTCAAACAGATCCAAACATGTGCTGCTGCTGCTAGAGGAGATGCCCAGCCACCTTCCCTTGTGCCAGCACCAGCCCTTGTGTAGCTGCGCACTGCAATGGAGGAGGGATCCGATGCTTTTTCACACCTGAAGAACCCTACAGAGCATCTTACCCATTCAATATAAGGCAACAGCGATCATTGGGAGGTGAAACGCGATGGAAATAATCAGGCAAGTGTAACTAGGGCTTCTGTATTTCTCCCTGAGATTTTTCTGGAAAAAAAATATTAAAAATGCAGGCAGGCAGCACACAGTGCTTGGGAAGTGAGTCCAGAGCATCCAGGATGAACCCCTGACCTGAGCTCGCTTACACACTGTGTGACAAGTTCTGGATACACCAAACTTTTTGCATATGTCCAGATCCCCTTTGCCGTGCACATAGGATCAGCTGCGCTGGGAAACTTCAGCAAAGCCCTTGTGCATATGTTCAGTGACTGTGCCTTAGGCATTTCTGGGTGTCCAGCGCTCTTGTAGAAATTACTGCCCTGACCAGGCTATTGGACATCAGGACACCCTGGACAAATATGCAAAGTCCTCTTTTTCTGCCCAGACAAAATTTCTAGACAGAGACAAAGGACACATTAAAAACAAACAAACAGGATATATGATAGCACAAGTTCTGATATTTCACTTTAGCATAAAGAATTTCACTTCTGCACCAACCCGTCATCGTACAACAGAGAATAATGAGAAAACATGCAAAAGTCACTGTCACTTGGAGCCCGGATCTGGGGTCATCCTTGGTGAAACACATCCACAGGTTCATCCTCTACAGCAGCTTTTCTAAGCAGAGATTTTATCTGTGAAATTTTCTTTCCCAGGATGATCACACTGTTTTACCCATGACTCTGCTGTGAGGGCCTCCAACCACAGTCCTGGTTTTGGGGTCCGCAGGAGCACTTTGGGGCTTAAACCCAAAATTGAGAATTACAAGCTACAGTGGCAGGTGCCAGCCTCTGGGCTGACTCAGCCACTTCTCCATCCCTCAGGGATATCTGAGTGCATTTCTCAAGCTGTCAATTGGTTTACTGATTAATTCTTCGGACCCCCATGATAGTGAAAGCAAATCAACATGCATCTAAGTTTTGCTCAAGGCTTTGGAAACACTACAAGCCTTTGTTAACAGCAGGAGAAATGCACAGATCTAGACAAATATGATGACTTCTGATCACTTTTGGCTGCCAACTTTCATGAGAACCAGGAATGACTGTTGGGCTGGAACAGGCTTTTGGGAATGAATTTTTGTGCAGTTGACCGACGTCTCACATCAGCATCCTTCATTTGGTACTGCAGCAAAACTGAGCCCCCGCTCCCTACTATAAAATACATTTGTCTTTTCCCCTGCCCCATCCTTTTTGTGCATCGCTAAGAGATTTCCTTCCCTCTGTTCATCTTTTTGCGAAGTCCTTTTAAAATCTAGTATTACCTTTGTCCCTTGGTCCTGCTTGGGGATTTTCCATTCTCTCTTTTGCCACCTTTCGGGAGAGAACTTCAGTCAAACTGGTTCCTACAGCCCAGTCAAACACCAGGGCTAACGTAAAGTTAAGGTCCTTTTCATTGGCTTTTGTCTGATGGCTGTATGTTAAAGATCCAGTCAGAAAAGGCAAATAAACCTCGGCATTCAAGCCTTTTAAAATTTTCCTCAAGATAATAATAGCACTGTATTATAAAGTTAAAAAGAAACGGTCGGCTGAAGTTGTTCCCAAGTTGTTATGCCACGTAGCACAGACCTATCAAAGGTGGGAAAGGCAGCAAAAGGCTCATCCGCTCCATGCTCAACAGTTTACACCTAAGAATTGTTTGGCTCTGCCCACACTTTGCCTCTCCATATGTGGCTGTGCAGAGGCTGATTTTTCCTGCCTCGGGTTTTCCCATCTTCTGTACGTTGTTTGCGCAGCTCTGTGTTAGAAATGACTTCTTGTTTTTGAAGGGACTGAAAGGGAAAGTGTTTGAACTTCATGGATGGGCAAAAAGAGGGATTGTGTTGCACAGGGTAAGTGCTTTGCTGTCTTTAGAGGTCAGCTGTGGTATTTCTGCCCCAGCCCCTGCTATTCTCCATTTACTACAGCAGCAAACTATTAGTAATCCGATGAGCCAACCGGCCACTTGGCAAAACAAGGGTTAGTCAGGCTGAATTGATTACTTGCACATTTCCATGTGATTTACGAATCAAGCCTGCTCTTTTCCAATGAGAGAAGGAAAAATAATCAGGCAAAGAAAAAATTAAAAGGAAGTGCAAATTCTATTTTGGAATTTTTTTTTTTAATTAGCCTCCTGCAGATGGATCCCTCCCATGTGCCACAAAGCCGATGGCCGTGTCCGGCTGAGCTCCTCTGGGCTGCAGCTTTCAGCACTGGAACAGTTACACGGACACAGAAGGAATAACAAAGCCTGTCAGACTCTCCAATAATGCTATGATCACTTTAACTTAGCAGTCCTTGACACTTGCAGATAAGGACTGCAAGTTCTCTCGGTACTACAGAAATATTGACACAAAGGATATGTTTATCCCTGACTGTGGTTCTGCAGGACAAGGTGGAAATGGCAACAGCAATATCAGGACTTAATTTCTTTGGCCTTACAAGGGCATCTGTGCTGCAGAGCCGACTGTTTATTGATTTTTTATTTTTTCTTTCTTTCACTAGTTTGGAAATTATGTTGTCTTTTCAAGTTGGAGTCATAGGTCTAGGGGGAGATAAAATGGAAGAAACTAATTTTAGGATTTTTTATGTTAATGCCTTTTGGACTATTAAAGACAGTGGGAGCTGGGGAGAGTTTCTGATTTTCTCCCCAACTTTCTGTTCATTAAGATACTGAGAAAGAAAATGTCAGCTGACTTTCTGGCTGCTGTTTCTCCAGGCCATCTTTAATCAGGTCCAGTTCTAACCTCAGATTTCCATGCACAACCCCTGCATTTTAACCTATTGGCAAAAGCACCCATGAGCAGAGCTGCACCTGCTAATATTATGAACGTCCAAGGGAATCAGACCACCTTCTGCAGGGATATGGGTGTGCTGAGTGTGTGACAGACAAGTTGTCCCATCACTGCCTCCCCCGGCTTGATGGTGAGATGAAGCAGAAGAGCTGGGGCTCAGCTGTTTAAACCCCGGTCCCAAAGATGTACTGGAGCCGATGCCTTCAACGTGACACGAGGCTCACTCCGAGAGGTTCAAGAGCAAGAGGAGCAGCCTGGTCCAAGCTATCCCTCCTGAAGATGACTCAGGGACAGGCAGGTCTGTAAATGTGACAAAACCCACTGACTCACTTCGAGGTTATTCAGCACCTACCTCTGCTCATCCAAGTTTAGGAAAGCAAAATAGACTGGAAGACGTACAGGAAGATCAGGGACATGATGAATGTTAGCTCCAGTTCAGAAGTGGATCTGCAATAAACTG